GGTGGAGGAGGAAGGTGGGAGAGAAAGCCATGCCAAAGCAAGAGAGAGAGAGGGACGGTCAGCCACATTTCCAAACACGCTAGACACCTGCTTTGGAGAGACCATGACCGAGCCTAAAATTCTTGCTTCCTCTTGATTGAGATCAGCCTTTTGACACCCCCTACCTATGACACTGCCCCCTCCCCCCCAGCAAGAGTTACTTCAATATGAAAACCCATGTGAGGGATTCACAACTTTTCTCTAGGAATCCTACAGTCTCATCTGTTGGATTCCATCTCTCGAATAAGAGCATTACTGGGTGCGTTGAAGAGGGAAAAGAAATTCTAAGAAAGAGATGAAAAAGAAGATGGAAAGCGAGCAGGTGAGGGGAAGAAAGTTAGAAAACAGCAGAGAAAGGGAAAGTGAGAAAAAAAAGTCAGAAGCCTGGAAATGAAGGGCAAACGGGAGAGGATATGAGGTTAAAACAAGAAAGAAATAAAGGTGAAAGGGAAGACGGGAAGGACGGTTGAAAAATAAAATCTGAAATGAGAGTGTTTCCCCAGAAGCTTGGGTTTTCCAGCCACAGGATGGACCGACCCGGGTTGGGGATGGAGAGCAGTCCCCTCCGGGGCTTCTCTGGGCCACTCGAGGTCAAAGTGCATCTTCAAAACCAAATCTTGATTAGAGCCAGCTAAATGTTTTGACTTGAAGGAGACACGAAGGATTAAAAAGCAAAATAGAGCAGCATGGGTAAGAAAGAAACAGGAAAAGAAAGAAAATTAAAAAAAAAAAAAGAACCCTCACGGGAGACACAAAGGGAATGATAGAAAACACTTCTGAATCAGCTAGTCATCTACTAACAAGCTGCAAAGATTTCCAATGACAAGTTGTCACATTAGTTTAGTGAAACTGAAGCAGTACTTATCCCCTTTCCTGTGCTTAATCTCTCCCTGCGTGCCACAAAAACATGCTACCACGTTTAATAGGATTAGTTTCGTTCACTTTCTCCCCCCACCCCTTTTATTTTTTACAATTCTATTTTCAGCAATACAGGGATCCTTGAATTCATGGACTTCCTGCAGTGCACAGCAAAACCTGGCATGCACGGTTTTTACCCTTTTAAAGACTCTATTTGAATCTGAAGAATGTAATTTGACTATTTTGTACCTTTTCTCCCCCAATGAATTACTTGCTCCTCATGGAAATCTCCATAGCTTAGAGGGTGGGGGAGGGGTGTTGGTGGTAAAAGGGTCGAGAGAGAACCAGGGCTAGGAAAAAGCCGACAAAGCCCAGTCTTGCAGAGGTTATATGCCCTAGGAGAAACTCTTCTAGCTCTGACCGCAGGCAAACATGGGTGCCAATTTAGACTGCAAATTACTGGCTTTGTGGCCCTGAGCAAGTGGTGAAACCTTCCCCAGCCTCAGTCTATTCATCCATACAGTGGGGATAATTCTTATCAGGGCTATTGAGAGAACTACACTTAATATATTTTATTTCTTCCCTTCTAAGTTTCACTTTTTCTCCTACTATATTATGTTCCTGAAATCAGTGTGTCTTACAATCCATTGGACATTTAAGGATATCACGTTTTGTTTTTCTCTCAAAGGCCATCTTTAAATTGATAGTGTGTCTTATCATCCATGGGATTTTGGAATTAAAAAATGGCAGCACTGGGTGTAAAGCATCTGGCACAGTTATAACATTGGAAGTGCTCAATAAATGCTGAATTATCTATCATTGCTTATTACTACATCTATTTGCCTCCTTCTGAATTCTCACTGAAAGACCACTGGGATATTGAGAGGAGGAGGTGTGGACACTTTTGCCCCTCATCCAGATTCTTCTAGGCTTGTGCTTCTTTTTTTTTTAAAGATTTTATTTATTTATTCATGAGAGACAGAGAGAGAGACAGAGGCAGAGGGAGAAGCAGGCTCCCAAGGAGCAGGGAGCCCGATGCGGGACTCGATCCCAGGACCCCGGGATCATGACCTGAGCCGAAGGCAGACGCTTAACCGACTGAGCCACCCAGGCGTCCCTAGGCTTGTGCTTCTAATTGAAGTCTCACAAACCCAACTAACTCAAACACATAACTATCCACCCGTGTTGACTAAGACCCCAAATCCTCTAGTCCACTCTGCTCCCTCAATAGGGTCACCAACTGCCATTCTTAGCCATGTGTCACGAGCGTTAGTTATCTGTTGAATGGTGTTGTTCCATTTTCCTGGAGTCCACTTTGGGCTATGTACCCCCTCCTGCCCTCTGCCTGCTCCCCCCCCCCAGGCACTACCACCAGCTTAGCATGGAGGTGATGAAGGGGTGAGGGTGCTTTATCTATGAGGGAAAAGGAGAAGGCCCAGGGGAACCAGGGCGAGGGGAGCAACACTGGGCCTCGAGTAGGGATGGAGGCAAAGGAGGAGAGGTCCTGGGGGGCCAAGGGCTGTGCCTGCAGAGGGACAGGCACAGCAGGGAGCAGGGTGCCTCCACTGTGCACCTGCCAGCCCCCACACTCCCAGGGGGAGACCCCGGGGTGCCTCACAGCAGGCTCTCAGGCCTTCCTGTCAAGCCTGGAGAAGCGCAGGAGCCCGAGGCTTCCTAAATCTCAGCGGCTAGTGAGGGCCTGAGGAAGTCGAGTCCCTGTACACTTCATCCTGGCTTGAGCAAAGGTCATACATATGTAACCTCCAGAACTTTTCTGTTGCCTCCCCTTCAGCCCTCCAGACACACTTCCATGCACCACTCAGCTCCCAGTGAGCTGCCTCGCCGGGAACTGGTGCTCCTTGCCTCCTTCCAGTCGCAGGCACCCCCCCCCACTGCACTCACCCCCTAACTCTGCTCCCTCGAACCCCAGGACCTCTCCAACTTGTGCTCTGCAAGGCATACACCTACACTCTCTCCTTACCCCCACCCACTCCCCTCCCACACTCACCGACAGACACTCTCCCCTACCCATCCCTGGCCCCTTCAAACTCTGCCCTCCACCCCGCCTCTGCCCCCTGCCCCCCCCATCTCCCCACCAGGATCTCAAGTATAGGCCAAAGTGTTCCTCCTACCCTGGGAGTGAGAAGTCAGTGTCACCTGTCTCCCTGAAGCTTGGCCCCAAATGTGTGTTTCTCTGTGGTTGTCTTGAGAGTCTTTGTTTTGTCCCCGAGAGTCCTAGCCACTTCCCCCAGGTCCAGAGAGCAGGAATCTTCCACACTTGCCCAAAGATATTCACAAACCCTAGGAAGATAGGCATCTAGGGGTGATGCTTGAGCTCTCTGTCATTCAGGGAGTGCCTCCTCCTCCCAACCCCTGGGTTCATTCACTAGGGACTGGGCCCACAGATGCCCCAAGCTGTCCATCTGTCCCTTATCCCGGCCCAGGAAACACCCTGATTACTCATCTCAAGCTTTTGGAAGGTACCAGCAAATACCTTTTTGGGGATGTATAATTAACTACTCAAGGCCATCTCCAGTTCTAAAACTGTCAACCTTCTTGATGTTTCTCTGTTCATTCAGCCCATTCCCTTTCTCTGGCTTTCTTCCCCTCACACTACTGCAGAATCACAGCTGGGGATGAACCTTCCTGCCTATCTTTCTTTGCCTTCTCGCAGCTCTCTTTGCCTGGGCCCCCTTTTAATGATTTTGGGGTGTGCTTGTGGTCATTGGTTTGAAAAGAATCTCAGGAAGAGTTGTAGTTTACTTTACAGAGATTTGGGGGAGTTGTTCATTCAGACATGTAAAAACATACCATAGATGATATACATTTGTCTTAGTTTTACCTAGGATTGTTGACCTTTTTTTCTTTCTTGTTGTTCTCTTCTTGAATAGAACTTTGTGTCCCGTGGTTTCATTGGTCTGATGGGCAGCTTCTGTAGGAAAGGTCTGCCATCCATAAAGCATGGAAGGTGAGAGGACCAAAAAAAGAAAGAAAGGAAAAAAGCAGACTTCAGATCAGTAAATGATTCCTGTCTGCCAGGATGGACAGGTCTAGGTCCAAGAGCATAGAGCCTAGCTTCCAAACATGCACTAATTCTACTGTTTATTCCCTAAAAGGTGAACGGTGTGCATATAAAGGGCCCAAAGTAGCTGCTATGCATATGCTAAAATGTGCACACATGTACATATCAAATGATCATCCAGTTAGCTTCATCAAAATATTTGGGGGCAGGAGTTCTGTATAAAAGGAGTACAGATCAGTGTGAGTGTGCAGAGCACACACTTGTAGACAAAATAGGTTCACTGAACACCAATCATGTGCTGAACAATTTTACTCTCTACAACTCTGTAAGTTGGATATTATCCCCACTTAACAGATGAAAAGAACTGAGTCTCAGATAGATTAAGTAACACACCTAAGGTCACAGAGTCAGTAACTGAGCAGTAATTGGAAACACAGCATGACCCCCAGATGCCCAGGTCCTCCCACTGATTGCCTAGCTGGGATGGGCCCAGAAATCTTTGTTTTTGAAAAGCTCCCTTGGTGATTCTTGATTACTTGCCACTCTTGGAAACCACTGCTCCACATCAAACCATCCCGCTATCCCTGTCACCAGCCTTGCCTCTGAGCAGCCTTCTCCACGTTGGATAAAACCTTTAAAACATATTTAAATAGCAATTTCGAAAAACTCTGCAGCATATGGATTTTCCTTTTGATCTCAAAATGATGACAAACAGACACTTAGATACTTCATAAAAGAAATATCACCAGAAAAATTATAGAAATCTGGCTTTCAACTTTGTCTTGCTCTAATTTAAACAAAGTGCAACTTTCCAGAGTTACTCTCTCTCTCCCCCCAAATAAATCCAAACTGGGAGCTTCCTTCTCTTTTTCTCGGTGCCCGGCCTACACCTATTTATCTCTAGCCCGCTCCTGAATAAAAGCCTAATAAAATGGACAGGAAGGATAACTTAAGTCTTATCACTCCAAATCACCAAAACCCACCAAAAATCGAGCACCTCCTGGGAATTCACACCCTGGAGTCGAAAGACCAAAGAAAGGAGAAGCTGGAGTAACGGCCAAATGTCCTTAGATTAGTTGACAAAAGAAAGGGGGTGGACAGGAGGGGAGGTTTCCACCCCTTCAAACGCCCCCGCCCCTCCTTGGGTCCTCCCGGAGGCCCCCCTGGCCCAGGTGGAGCGCGTCCCCGGGTGCGGGCGCGCCGCCGCCGGAACGGCCCCCGCAGCAACAGGCGGACGGCGGGCGTCTGC